GTTAATAATGGCCAGAATCCCACATCCGACATATCCTCAATCCGTGCATCATTACTTCTGCAGCAAAGTAGAGCATTGTTGGTCCAGTATCTGATAGGACAATAAGGTTCGTTGGTATTGTCAAGTCAAAAGTGAAAGAATCTGTATTTCAGCCATCTGTTTCATAACCGTCCGCAAACCATTTGTATTTTTCAAAGGGGAGGTTAAATAGAAAATGAACGGTTACAGACAGTGATAGATTTTTCCATGTCTGTCTTTACAACGCTCTGTTCCATCAAAGGTCAGCACTGTTATGTCGGATAGCTTTTGGTTTAAGCCGCAAATCTTCAGGTCAAAGTTTATCGGATTTGACCACAAAGTAAAAAGTGAGTGTGGATTTACAAAATTGAGTGCAGCAATATCACTAAAATGAATGTATTTTGCTTTTCTGATGGCCTTTTATAAGATGTAAGGTTCAAGGTTCAAGGTTCTTTATTTGTAATACGAACATAGCCACAGAGTAGTTATGTCGATACAAATCTTAGGTCACAGGCTTCTCCAACAGTGCAACACAATAATACAGATAAACAGAACAATATAGTGCAAGTAAATATTAAAAAGTAAATACAAAAAGAAAAATAGTTTAAAAAAAGTGAAATAGTGAAATAAGAGTTTATATGCAAGCTATTGGAATGATATATTAGATAAATAGATACATAATTACTAAGTAGCAGATGAATGTTGTGGATGTTGTTTCAGCAGTTCAGGTGTTTAGCTGTCTTATTGCCTGCGGGATGAAACTGTCCCTGAGTCTAGTGGTTTTAGTCCGGATGCTGCGGTAACGCCTGCCAGACGGCAGCAGACTGAACAGTTTGTGGCTGGGGTGATGGGGGTCTTTTATAATCCGGAGGGATTTCTTCCTGAGCCGCTGGGAGTAAAGGTCCTCCATGGATGGCAGCTCCGTCCTGGTGATGTTCTGTGCAAGGTTGGGAAAGAGGGGGCATATAGGTGGAGCACTAGCCTGTGAACCAAGCAGCAACCTCAGGGTCATAAACTGTCTGCAGAGAGAAGTCTGATTGTATAGGAATCACCAAATTACCTTAGAAACCCATAACTGATGAGTATAGTCTCAATTTACAGCATGTTTACAGTATGATTTTCTTCAGCATTTTGTTATGTTTTCTTCCACCCTATTTTCTTACTTCTGATTCATAAAAACAAGAACACAACTGCCCAAAACAAAATGGTCAAAGCCAGAACTTTCAGAATCAAAGGCTTCAAACCACAAACCAATCATTGCCATCAAAGTAACTACAATGCCTTTTTTTTTTTTTACAGTCAATGGTTGTTACCATACAGACACACATGCTGTCACTCACAGCTCTGGATGCCCTTCCTCGTGCAGCCAATTAGGAGCCATCTCCTTTCGCTCTTATCAATGCTACTCCTCCACTCTTGTCAAAGTTATTTGAAAGAACAGGGGAGAGGAGACTTCAAAGACTCCTGTTGTCTTGTTTTCTTTCCTCCTCTCATTCCTCTCTTTGTGAAGCCCAGAGTGAAACTACAGAGGTGCCGGGATGACAACACAGAGAGCTCAAAGGACCTGACGCTTTGTGTGTGTGCAACAAAGGTGAACTGTAGCGATGGTTGATTGCTGTTTTTATGTTTGCATGTTCAGCGTAAACGCAAAGGATCAAATTGTGAAGCCACTTGTTTTCACTGTATGCAGATTTTCTCTAAATGTTTCTCACGTTTTGTACACCAAGGACTGAAACTTGCACTGTTAAACGTGTTAATTAAATACTACAATTTTGTGTTGGAAGCAGAAAATTGCTCTCCTATGACCAATTTCGAAGTATTTTTGAATTCATTACTGCCTATTTAACTCTCCAGAGTGGCACTCAGCGTGTGGTTTTCCCTTTAGAGAAGCATTCTCTGTTTCTCACTCCACATTTAAAGAGTCGTTGAGGTCATGACATTCCTTATTAATCTTTCATGATCGCATGGTTTAAGCAATTAAATTGTTTTAATCACACAATAAGTGATAATTTTGTCTTGAGGTGGATGATATTGTCGGATGTTGACTAGTGCAGACTAGCAGCTGTACACTCTAAAAACAAATGCCTTGGTTCAACAAAGAAAATCAACGCAACAGTTTGCATCGATGTTTATTGAGTTAAGACAACTTCTAATGAAATTCTGTTAAACTAACAAAGTTATTTGAGTTAGGGGAGAAGGCTTTTCCTCTACAATCAGAAGTGTTTTTAATTACCACTTACTTAATAATTGGTAGCATAAACACAAGTTTTTAAGTTGATTACTCAAAAGATTAAGTTGTTCCAGCTAGTTTTACCGCTTGATTTTAAAAGGAATTTTAAGTTGTATGTACTTAATTACCATCATTATGTAACAACCATTTTATAAATTAAGTTGCTTCAAATATATTGTATTCAATTGTTTGTTTTTTTTAGCTTTTTCATGTTTTTTGCCTTTAACATTTTTGTTTTATTAATTTCCAACCAACAAAAATATTGGCAAGTTCACCTTTTATTTTTGAACTGCAGTTGTTTTATTTCCAACACATGATTGTTTCCAATCATGGAGAGAAAATTCATTTTGGTTTGAACCATTTATTGACCACATGCCAACATGATAAGGTGCATGAACCACCTGAAATCACAGCTAGGCTGACAGAGAGAGAGGAGAACCATTTTATAGTTTTGGCTGCAGCACGTTGACTGGGCTGCTGGAGAAATGAGGTGAAATGTAATAGGTTAAAGGAGAACGCCTGTGATGAGGGCTGATAATATGCAGCTCGGAGTGAATGTATATACAGCCGGCAGTCTTCCTGAAAAACTTGGCGCTGAAGCTTCATTTAACATCTTGAAAAAAAAAGATAATACCAACAGCAAATTTTAAATTGCCCCCACAAATAATAAATAAACACATTAGCCTCATATTACACATGGGAAACATGGATGACAGCAGCCAAATAAAATGCTGTCCATCACATCGAAGTTAGAGGCCTTTGCATATTAAGACAGTGCCAAATATGTAGAAATCTGTAAAAGGTTTTTGTAAAAATACAGTAACAAAACTCTCAATGGCCACCACATCTGCAGATCACACACATCAATTCTACACAAAGAAAGTAACAAAGAGATGTTTTCACCTGCCGAGCAGTCATTGATTCCAAACCAGTATGACACATTTAAGCGCGAGAATGCTTGCTCATTCATTTGTTTCGCCTTCGACCAGCGATGGTTGCCATCCGTTATGGTCAGGAATTCTGGGGTGGACCACTTTTCCAAAATTTTACCACAAAATCCATTTTCCCATGTCATTGCTGTCAACACCTAGTCGCATGCTTGAACGTTGCTAGAATTATTGATTGGGGTGTGGCCCCAAAAGTGCAAAAATGCTTCAAAAATGTAAACTGACAGAGAGGCAGTGCTTTGTCGCTGTGTTTAAAAGCTGTGCCCATGGATTTTTGATTTGATTCAAGATTTTTAATTACGTCGCTAAAGTTCCTTGAAAAGGTCCTCTTCCTTTTCTCCCCAAGGTACACGACAAAGGGCAGTGGGATGGCTATAGTCTCCTGGCGTACTTCAATTGTTTGTGCATTTTTTAAAAAAGGAAAAAAAGAGAGAATTACCTAAATGAATATATTCTGAATGGTGACTGCCAACAATTGCATTTCAATGACAACTCTATAATAACGATCTAACCCTCCAGAAGGCATGTCGGCTTGATCTGCTTTCACCAAGATTTGCTTTTAAAAAAGTTATATCACAATAGTAACCAAAGTATTTTTAACACCTCAGCAGTAGCCTCGTACTGACTATTGTATCCACCTCAACAGGAACTATTCCAAAGTCAAAAAGGCTGCTAACTTGGTCCCAAACAGCAATTTGGCCCTATACAGTGCAAGCTACAAGGCTATATAGCTGTATTTGAATGACAAAAGATGACCATACAGCATTAAATGTCCTTTGTATATTTCTATTTGTCTTAACTGTCGGAACTTGTCCATGGCTGTTAAGTGGGGAGTGGACTTGAAAATCCTTACTG